CGGCCCGCGGGGGCAGAGCCGGGGCCTTCTGCGAATTGAGGGTGAGAAATGGAAAAAGAGGGTTAGAAAGTCGTTCCTATTCCGCTGAACTTTTGTTTTCTGACCGATAGAGGCCGGTAGAGGACTGTGGAGAAGGAAAGTTTATAACCAGCAGCACCAGGATGGACTTCCCTGCTACCCAACCAAAACCTGCTGCCGACGGGAAAATCATCTACTATCCTCCTGGAGTGAAGGAGATTACAGACAAAATTACCAACGATGAAGTAGTTAAACGGTTAAAGGTGAGCAATCCTGTCTACCATGCCCTTCCCTGCAACTTTTTGCTTCTTGAGGTAAACATCTCATCGTAGGAGAGAAGAATTGCCAGAGTTGCCTTTTCGTAGTTGAAACATCTTCTTGTCTGCAGACCTTTGTGGGTGTACCGCTTCGTTGCTTTTCCTTAAAAGAGGAGTAATTTTAGTAATTCGTGACTGTAGTGTTGTGAGTTCTCCAGAGCCAGGGTTGATAACTGAAACACCTAATTTATATGTAAAATGTATGCCCACTGTTGGGGAGAGGTCTGTAGTGGAATCACAAATCTTAATTGCTTTATATGTTACCAAAATTTTTTATGGTAAGCTAGAAGGTTTGTGTGAGTTTGAGCACTGTAAGCAAGCATAGTCAGGTGGGGGAAACAAGTAGATCCAGTTGAGGATATTTTTGACTGAAAAAAAGCCCTGTTCATAAACAGTGAGGATTAATTTCTGGAATATGTGGATAGAATATCGAAATTATTTCGTATGTAAACCTGCTTTAAGATGTTGCAATTTGAGATAATTAATATATTTTTTCTTTTTGTTATAAGTGCTGCTTGGCAAAGTTGCTAGATTTTCACAAGCAAAAGGCACTATAATAAAAGCATCCTCTTTGCTTGGTGATATAGAATCCTGAGGGTCTGTGAGGCTTATTTCTGGTTTGTTGTTTTTTAATCCCTTTTTCCACTGTCAATGTGAAATACTGCTGTGATACAATAGTATTATTTCTTAACTCTATGCTCAAAATAGAGAATAAAGTTGAGCATGAATCAAACATCAGCACAGCCTGTTTGGTAACACCATGGTCTTCAGACCAGAAAATTGTTGTAACCTGGTATTTGTTTCTGTGCCCAGGGTGGACATGTAGTAATGATTTTTAAAGATCAGAAATATTCTCTCCCCTGATGATCTTTTCCCCATCCCAACAGTGACCCATAAAGACTGAAGAATAAAAATTGGTCTTTTCTGGTCAGTTAGTACACTGAAAAATGTCTTACATGTAAGTGTGAAGAGAATGTAGGCTTGGTGTTTTGCTTTCAAAGCAGCAAAGTACATGTCAGTTGTTTCGTTGAAAACAAACCTTAATGTCCAATTACAGTTTTGAAAATTACTGAATGGTTTAGTCCAGCCTAGTATTTTCCAAAGTCTGGTGGAATATTGAGAGTTACAGAGGATTATCCTAGAGTTTTGATGGTTTGGACACAGACCTTGAGGGATTCTGTATAGAATGGGGAGGAGTGTGGTTTTGAGGTCCTAATTGAAATGGTTATTTTACTTTTTTGTCCCAGTTGTAGAACTTGCAGTAGTGACCTGTGCCATTCCTAGATAATAGGAATAATAGAATTTCAACATTGTGCATGTACATTTTGCTGAATTCATATGTGTGTTGGCCATCATTTTCAGGCAAAGGGCAGATTTTTTTGTCATTTTTTTATGAACTGTTTTTCTGTAATTTTTTAATGAACATTTTAATGAATGGTTAAGGAATTCAGATGACCTCAAGACTGTGGACTAATTTTAAATGGGAACAAATAATTGTTAGTGGACCTAAAATTACTGAAACAACAGAGTTAAGTTTTTTTTCCTCTCTTACTGTTATTGGTACTACTTAATCCGAGTTTGAGGAATTTTTTTTGGTCAGATACTAGCTTTACTGAAGCATCAAGAAAATCAGAAGCACTGTACACTTAGAACTAAACCAATAACTATTTTTTCTTTATATTTTTGTATAGACATATGTATATAATATTTATTTACTAATTCTGTGCTTCCTGATACCAACTTCATTTATAAAAACAAGTTCACTTTGATATGTGCAATATTATGATGATACAGTGCTTCGGATGGAAATACTTGAAAAAGTTCAATTAAAGATAGCTTTCCACAACTTTAAATATGACTTAATGCTGAAAGCCAGTTATAGCAGAATGTAGAAATTCAGGCATGAATCAGTTCTTCAAACTAGGTTTTTTACTTTCATTATGCATGAGTTAAAGATGCTCTGTGTCACTTGTACAGAAGATGTGTGTGTAACTTGGTGTTTTGTCGAGCAGGCTTTGTGTCAGTTTCTTCAAATGTGTGTTCTTTTAGCTTAATGAAGTCATGGTCGACTTAATTGGTTACAAATTTGTGTCCTTATTAGCAACTTTTCTGATAGCAGATCTGTATTTTTGTGTCCAGACCTCTTCTTGTGATGAAGGCTTTTCTTATTATTTGAACTTGAGACGTTCTGGGCACCTGTCCCGGAGTGCCTGAGCAGCAGCTTTTGTGCCAAGGACTTTGAAAAATAATGTTTTTCTATCCTTTCCCTCCTTCTGCTTGGGGTCGCAGGTAATAAAATGTAGGCCAGATTCATTTGCAGTGTTTCGATAGATCTGTATGATAATATTAGCACTGTCCTGAAAATGGAAGTAGTAAAAATGTTAAAATCAACATGTACTTTCTTAGCAGTGTAGAAAGCAAAAGCCTCTGGACTGCATATGTGTGATGAATGAAACACCCATTCAGGTGCTTAATGGAGTCGAAGGTGGTTTCTGTTAGATTACGTTGCTGGGTTGGTGCCTTCTTGGCATGGGACAGTACGTGATGTATAATTTCAGCTATTGATGAAGTGATTTTAACAATGGTGTGCTATGGCTGGGGACAAGTGTCCATTTAATAGATCAAATTAATTTTAATCAAATTAGGCAGCTAGCATGTAGGAGAGTATTGAAGCTTACTGTACTTTGACTGCAATTTCTAATTTTATTTTGTTGTTGTTGTTGCTAATGTTCCTCTTTGCAGTGCCTCTCTTGACATTACATAGTGATTAGTTTCAGGGATATAAGTCAAATGCTTGTCAATTTAATAAGACTTGTGAGGAGAGCTGATGATACCTTTTATTTAGCCAAGGAATAGAAATCGAAAATAGTAAAAAAAATTAAGGCACCCAAGTAGTCCTTCAGTTCCAAAATCAAGTCAGCAACTAAATAAAAGTAGAGAAGAGTTGTACTAGCAATATTGTATTTCTTCCCATAAAATAAGGAAAGTTGAAAGAAGTTTTAGGAACTCTGCATGTGTTTCGCTGCAAAGTTTCTCTACAGCTATTGAAATTCTAAAAAAGTGGACTGTATTTTACTGCCTTGTCAAACTCCGGACATGTATATTGTTGTCAGTAAACTTATATCGCAGATTAAAGTTTATTTGGTCACACCAGAATGTTTTTAGATCGTTTATACATAAACCTTTCATAATTAAGAATAAGATTAATAGTAGTGTACTTTATTGTGAGGTACACTAAAAATAGCCCCGTAATCCAAAATGCAGGGTTTCTCAGAGACTGTCTTCAACAGCCTTTCTAGGCAAAGCCAGAACTGCCACTAAAAGAAGTTTCTTTGCTGCATGTCGAACCTCTGTTCTGTACAAGCATTTTGTTTTACTGCATGCCAAAATGGGTGGGTGAACAGATCTGGGTTGAAACTTAGGAGAAAGAAAAAAATAAACTTGTGTTAATTTTAGCCTAAATGTTTTCTTGATTTATCTTGAGAGCTCACAAATGCTTGTGCTGGCATAAGGGAAAAAGCAACTGCTTTCTATGGCAGTCCTGCCTTAGGGACTTCAGGAAGGAACTTCAGAGCCAATTTGAATGTGAAAGTTGGGAGGTGTTATTCTTTGAGATAATTCTGCAGAAACAATGCAAGATCCCCCATCTCCATCTTACCTGCTAGATTTTTTTTAGGTAAAGGAAACATGCAATGATGAGTTCAGATATAGATTTGTATCAACAACTGTACAGTGCCCTCAAGTGTATGGCAAGTCTGTCAAAAAAAGGAAAAACAAAGTCCTGTCTTTTGTGTGGAGACATAAGTGTAAGCAATGTTAATTCATATAATCTATAAAAAGCACATTTAATCAGACTCTAAATATATAAAAGTGCCCAAAAAAGCAGTTTCAGAAACCTTCCAAAGGAAAAGAGTGATAAATTAGTTTCAACATAGAGATTTTCAACAAAAACCTGTCTTTGTGAAATTAAGCGTTTTTATAGGCTAGAATTTATTAAGGGTGATGTAGTTCTTTATCATAGCTTGGGTTAGTATTCTGTGTTCTGATTTTTTGTTAAGTTTAGGGGAGTGATTTTCCTTTTGTTTTTCAAGCAGTGCTGTAGTCTTGATGCTTTCCCCATGGTGACAGTCTGGCAAGGCGTTTTCTCTGAAAGTTACTTTTGATTTCCACACATCCACCCCCCTTTTCCACCTCTCCCCAGTTTTCCTGTCATCCCACTCCAAGGCCTAGCTTGTGATTGGAGAAGTTAGCATTGCTTGTGTGCCTTGAAGTCTTTGTTATCTTGTCCCATGGCACTTTTCAGTTATCTGATATGTATTTTTGCCAGAGTGAAACAAACACTGCCTCTCCTTTTTCCCATTGTCTTTTTGCATGTTCCTCTGGTTATTAGACATTAACCTCTTTGTAGTTGGGCCTGTCATGTCTTTATCTTTGGAAGATTATCCTCATATCACTAGAAAAAGTTAATGCTAATAATTTGTCACGTTATCCACAGGTGTTTTTTAGACATTTGTTACATAATGTTAAAATTGAGAGAGGCTGCTTTTTTGCTGTTTAAATGTTTTGGAGTAAGCTGGAGGTACATAAGATGGGAAAAAAAATTGCTCTTTATTCACTATTGTCTTTCTGTTTAAGTTAATGGCCATTCTATGAGATTGTGTGGTTAGGTGGACCTTCAATCTGACCTGCCTATGCTTAGGTAGTTATTTTGAAGGAAACTAAGAAAATACAAATTAGAATGGCATCTGGGAGAAGAAAATACACTAGAAGTTTGTAAGTCTGAGGGGGGGAAACGTGTATATATTAATTGTGCTGGATTGTGTTAGTTAATATATACTGATTTAGGTGACAGGTATTTTTATGACTTAAACCTCTAACTTGCATGTCCTTACATGCTTACATTTAAGAATTATAAGTAGTTTTGTGGAGGTCATATAGTGAGGTTA